CTTCACTTTCAACCCTGCTCTGCAACCCAACTCCTTGCCTGCCTGGGTTACGAAGGCTTCGTTTCGAGCTTTCCTCTCGGACGTCGGGGCTTAGCAACAAGTACTACGACGACAACGGTTCTGTTCAAGTTGAAAACTGATACCGCAATCGGTTGTAAAACATGACGAGAACCAGTGAACAGATGAATCACTGCCGAAACTCGAAATCACTTATCAGTGTACAACAACATTATTCACTGGGGCGATAAGGGAATCTTCGCGGCTACAGCTGAAGTGAGCCGGGGGTTGTGGAACTTGAAACCTCGACACTGTTGATGTTAATGGAACCTTGTATCCTAGACCCCGGAAGTTCAGAAGCAAGCGAACAGCATTCAGGGTTTGTGGGTCTATATTTTGTCGATGGGTTCAGGGCTTGGGCGGCTTGCTTTTTTGCACCTTTTGCTACTAAACTCAAGTCTACCCAGCCTACGACCCTAAGCCCTCAACCCTAAGTGCTGGTTGAGGATAAGGCTCAAAACCTCCAGGGCTGCGAAGGTCATTACTTCCAAAACTCTGTTTCCGGGGCTTTTGGAGACGCCGCCACGCAAATGTTTCTCAGAGGCGCGATCTATGACTTGAGCAAGGGCCACTGCTTCTGGTGCATGTACCAACTTTTTTCAGGTTTAAGCGGGCCAGCCGTCGCAAAATCGAAAGACTTGGACTGGTTACGTACCCCACATGAAAGCAACCTCATCTTGAAAGTTCCTACATGAGGCGTCCCTGTAATTTCAACAAACCCTCACCCCTCAAATGCAGGTTTGGAATCTCCAGCTGTGGAGGATCATGCGCTCGCGAACTTAGCCGCACTCTAGCGCAACTTTACGGTCGGTGTTAGGTTTCGCACAACAAGCTCGCATTACATCCAGCGAAAACCTCGGCATCCCGAGCGAAATACGACCTACATTATTTCACAGCCAGCAGAACCGAGAACTGGTCAGTTGCATCCCAGGACTGCACGACCAAAACCAGCTCTCCCCGGAAGCATCAAATGCAAAAACCCTGGCCCTGACTTCTGCGTAAAAATGCCTCTGCCTGAAGGAGGCCGAAAGTGGCATTTGTTCATGTGTTTTTTCGGACACGCATATGCTGCTACATGTGAATCCCTGCACATTTCGTCGCTGCGCCTCTGAACGTGCAAAAAAGCCAGAAGCTTGGATTCGGGTGATTAGGAAGGGAAGAACAAACAAAATCACTATTGTTGGCGACAGTGTGGGTCAACCAACGAAAGCAACAAACATGATTTCTCTACTGCTGCTGCTGCTGCTCCTCCTCCTCCTCCTCCTCCTCCTCAGATTACGGCTAGTGCCGCCGCTACAACTGTACTGCGACGACGACTGTCATGACAACGGCGACCTCTACAATGAGGCAACGACTGCTCCGAGTACTAGTGCTGCTGCGGCAACGACACAAGACAAAACACATGACGAGGCACACTTATGCTCCTTACAAAACAATGGTCGCAGTCATGGTTCTGGGACACCGTGCTTTACACATTGAGCGAAGGCGCTAGAATACTGTACTATACTCGAAATACTGTGCAGACTATACATTCCCATACTCTACTGCACCATGTTGTAAAATACTGTACCAGGATAGGGATCTCTAATCATCTAATCTCCCCAACCTTGGCCTCTGACACTCCGAACGCTGCGCTGCTTTGCCATGGTAGGATGCACTTCTGCTAAGAGTCTGGGCCTTGCGACTTGACCTGACGGAATTAGCACGCCCTGGGCCACAAAGGGAGGCTGGGTCAGAGTCTAAGCCTCCGTAACAAGTCTCTACAACAAAAAGCACAAGATCGAGCGGACAAGATATGGAATACTCCTAGGAATGGGCCCATGTCGCCAGTGGCAGTTTGCAAGATTCCGGCATGTTGTAGTTGATGGCTCGACAGTTGCAACGCTCTCGAGGTTTCGAAATCATCGCTGGAGTCTGCCATCTGTACACGCGCCTGGCAGCTCAGCTTGAATTCAGGAGCAATGCACGTACAAGCAGGAAGCAAACTACTTGTGCCAAGAAGCACCGACACACGTTGAATAAGCAAGCCACAGCAGCCATGATTGCAAAATTCCGGAGCAAAACACTCAACTGTGGCAATCAGTTGCTTGATTCGTGAATGGAAAACGTGTCTGCCATTCAGAACTAACTCCGCAAAACAAAGTTATTTGCCGGTCTTACGTACATAGATTCATAAACCTTAGAACATCCTAGAGCTCTAAACCCTAGCATGCCCATACCGAGTGGGCGGAATCTTCGGGAGTCTGCAAAGCACAGGAGAGGGATCCGAGTGGACAATGCAAGAAGAGGGTACGGCTCGGGATTCCCGACTAGGATCCTTATGATAGGGTTGGCAGTACTGTTGGCAGCATTTGTATCATTAACCTTGCCATTAAGATTACCATCGGCATCCGTGGTATTAGTTTCTTTCTCAAACTGCAAAATCTTTGCGAAAGACATTCTTAGCACCACTATGTATTCTGAATGTTGTGAAGCATCAAGCAACTGATCGCGAACTCATAGGGCTCCAATGAACCACTTTACGAGTCGCAAGCGGCTGAGCCGAAGATTCCACAAAGGCGTATAGGGTTCCCTTAACAGGGTTACTATAATCGAAGGGGTATTGCAGGGGTTAGTGGAGGGGCCTTAATCATGCGAAGTAAGGTTTCTGGGGTATATTGTAGACAGTATAAACATAATATGGACTATAAGTGTGCAATTTCAAAGTTTGCAGTATCGGGCTGTGCCAAGCTTGTGGCTCGCAAGTTGGGTGTTTAGGGGCATTGCGAATAATCAGAACAATGCTTTGCGGATATATTCTGGTATAAGTACAATATGCACTATAGTGTAATAGTCACACTCATTTTCAGAGCACTTGTTGGACCCTGGGCTCTCAATGCCACTGCAGCTGATTCGTTCTGTCATACCTCATATAAAGCATCGAACTCCCCATGGGTCTGCACTGGGGCTTCTTCTATACTCGGGCTCCTTCCAGGTATTCTTTATATGGGTGGTTGTCAAAACCAGGGTCCCTTTTCGGGTACCCAAAATATTAGGTGCGGTATCATAATGGGAACCCCAAAAGGGACCATAATTTTGATAACCACCCATATGACAGGCAGTGAGCTCCAATCTGCCAACGTTGCTTCAATGCGCAGCCTGTGTTCAACCTCAGCCAAAATCTCTAACCGTACAGCCCCATAAACACCGTTGAGCGATAATCCGAACCAAATGCTTTGGCTATATGGATCCAGGAAGGAGTTTTCAAAAAATCATGAGAAATCACTGGTTGGGCAGTTGTGAAATCACCTTTTTAGTGGTCTCTGGGTTAGGGTTGAGAGTTTGCCTCCGATTTTCAGGAGTTAGGCTTGGCAAGGTTTGGGGTTCTTAACATTGTAAGGTCTAAGGGGGCGGTTCGTTTGACAAAGGGCTTGTGGGGTGGAAAAGGCAGATAATCTAGGAATGTCAACGGACTAACTCGAAAGCCCCATAAGTTCCCAAAGCGCTACAGATAACCCTAAAAAGGATCGCTGACCACATTCGTAGGCTATATATGGCATCCCTCCGCAACCTTAAACTTAGTTGCTGCGTTCAATATGCCCCCAGAAGTGTACGCTTTTCGTTCTATAGTGGGTAGTATTATGCCAAAAAGTATAAAAAGTGCATCTACTCAGCTACTAAACAAACCATCTTGGGCTTCAGCCATCATCGATAATTACATCGGGCGAGAGGCTCAGCCTCCGAGTCACTAGGCGTGCACGGCGCAGGTCTCTGACGACAGTCGAACCTCTACAACAAGGATAGAAGGATTTTAGGGTTCCGTAACCGATCACGCTACGGTTTGGTGCTTACGGCGGTTCTTAGGTTTCGTAGAGGTCAGTGTTTCGGGGCTCTGTGACGTTGGTACGCAGTTGTGTAAAGGTTTTGCAGCATTTGCGGAGAGCCTGCAGAAGCTCTAAAGGGTGAGCTGTAAGCTTAAATCTTACCATAATATGCCTCTGTGTGTGTGAAACCCCGTTTAAAAGTAGAACCCAAATAGCAGTTTGAGACTGCTGGAATCCCAAGAGATAACCGTTTTCACCATCACTCAGACCCCATATCATAGAATGTCCGCACAGGCGTGCACCCGTCGAACGCAAACCTGCGTGACACCATTGTGGGTTTCAGGGTGAGGGTGTTGGTTGTCAAAAGGCCTGATCCCATAAGGGGGCACCTCCGAACTATATGGATATCTACATATATAGAGACACAGAGTTTTTTGCTATATGCACACACATAACCACTGCTTGCGCGGACCCAAGCATGTCAAAGGTTACCTACTGTACCTCAGCCTTTAAAAAGACCTGAAAGACCGCAGCCCTCAACTCCAGGCTCTGGGCTCGGTCGGTGGAGGTGGTCGGTTCGGTTGTAGGCTTGGTTTAACCGTTCGTCTTCTTTAGGAGGCCCCAAGCACTCATCATCAGTGGGCTCATTGTGTTTATTGTGGTCTTACGAATGTGATTCAAGGAGGCAGTGGAAGGATATTGCACGCAATTGTTGCCCAAGATGTTATCCAAGCGCCGCGAATGCACCCAAAACTGCTCGCATGACAGGCTCTCTACACTCGAGGCTACGTGCCTGCAGTCTGGCCAGCTTTGAAATTGTTTTTCTGATGCCAAGCACCCGGACCCTTTGGATAGTTCTGCTTTGGACGGAGGAAGTCAAAGGACACACGGCTGGCCGACCCCTCTGCTTGCGGAAGCCTCCGAGTGCCCAGACGGGGCCTTTCTCTGAAAGCCCCTGAAATCGGCTCACGTCACTATTTCTTTCCCGACACAAAGCTTTTCTGAGGTACATGGGCTGTGCACATGTAGACAACGGGCTGTGCGGTTTCGTGAAAGTAAATAGATAGTCCAACATCTGGCTGCCCGCGAACTACTGTGGATCTCTGCATTCCCTTGAAACACTGAAATAGTGACAGCCGCTCAGATGAGGTCAGCAATGTCCTCGGTGATTCGGGTGGTGGGCCGACCGCGTTGAGTTTTGGGGTTTTGGGTTTGAGGATGCTTATGTGACGGCCTTTTCAGCTCATCCTGGATTCTTCTCAGCATGCATCATAGGTATCACGAAGGGACATCTATCGCACATGGGGTTCGTTGAAAATGCACTGAAACACCTGCACAGCACGACGCCACAGTCTTAAGACATTCCTTCAGTTTTCCCAGCTCCCGAAAACATGGCTACAGTTCCGTCTGTTTCCCAAACAGTCACTTTTGATATGTGTGTGTGTATATGTATATATGTATAGGTCCGTACATACTATAGTATGATACATCATATCTTTACACATATGTTATATGTATATACACAGTTCTATACCTGTATTCTATGCTGGTACCTTGTGGGACCCAAGGTCTTCCAGGCTTCGGACCCTATCTCTGACAGGCTGAGCGGCCGCCGGCATCTCCTCAATCTGGGTGTGGTAGAACTTTTCGATGTCTTTCCTGCTACATAATAAGCTATTGGGTTTCGACTCGCACACTCGCACAATCGCAGGCACGGCTTCCGGGGTCCATTGCTGGGTTTAGGGTTTAGGATGCATATGGGTGGCTGTCAAAATTAGGGTCCCTTTTTGGGTGCCCTAAAATACTAGGTGCCACCTTATATTAGGGACCCAAAAAGGGATCCTAATTTTGACAACCACCCATATAAACAACCTCTATGGTGGACTACAATTGGGCAAAGGGCGTTACGGTCGAGGACGGATCAACATCGGGTAGAGGGTCTCGGGCGTGGGTTTGGAAAGGCTTCAGCAAAAGAACCGAAACCGCGAGGGGAAGCATTCCACATGTTGCATTCACTTCAGCGCTTCGTGATTAGGTTCCGGGTTGTAGATTCCTTGCCACATTAGCATGATCATGTACCTCTGGACACACAACCGGGGAAGTTGAAGATACTGCTACCACTAGTTTTTACTTGTTATGAGAGGTCTTGGGGCCCAGAGAGACCACGGAACCTGGCGTGGGTTGCCAGTCAGCTTCCTGTCAGTGGCACTTCCAGCCAAGTCGTTCATAGGGCCCGGAAAAGGAATGAGGCTTTGTGACATGCTGTGCTGTATGAACATCGGGGCTATGTACCAAACTATCATACTAACAAGCATGTAGACTGCTACGTCATTGCCAGTGTGTACTTTCTTGCAACGCCCTGAACCTTGTGTTCTCTAATTTTCGAGCATGGTACCGAAACCCTGGTTTGCTGTAAGCTAGGATTCGCCAACACCGAAGCCGAACTAAGGCCGCAGCATTGTTCGCACGTCGTTGTTCGTGACGAAATTGATGGCCACGCCTCAATCAGGAGCCACGGCACACATCAAGAAAGACTGCCCACAGGCCGTATACCCTTAGTAATGATACATATCATAATTGTACTGGTAATGGTAAGAATGATAAAAATGATGATAACAACAACAATGCCGCCCAAGCGTCCCGAAACAGCCGAGGTTACGAAGGACCGGGAGAGCAGGGAATTCCAAAGCTCGAATTGATACTGGGGCTTCATACTTAGAAGAAGGGTTCCTTCTAACAGGGTCCCCAGTTTAGGGTTTAGAGGATCCTTGTAAGGTTTACTACGAGGGTTACTTCGGGGAGGTTTGAGACAAGTGCCGAAGGAGTTAGAACAGGTTTTGGGGTATAATTTCGAACGTACTTAGAATAGGGAATCCTCAGAATATGATTGCTAACTACACAGTCTTCTATATTTCTTGAACACATGGAGCACAACTGCCCCATCGGATTGGCACTACCTGGGCCCTTGAGCAATGCTCACACAGCCTACCCTAGTGGCTACCCCTGTATCCTTGGCTTCCCGTCGAACTATAGGTCGGCTATGAACTCAGTGCAGCTCGTGATAGTCTTTGGGTGCATCGGTTGCGTTTGGATATCCCAGGCTTTGCTCTAGCATGCGAGATTCTGCGGTTAGACAGGCTGCATGTGTCAAAAGCGGCATTCTGTCGATGACTTCTCGTGAATGGCTTCAAGCGGATCCCGCTGTAACTTACCCGTTTTCCCTGCGTGACGATGTAAATTGCACCCACGTCATCCTGCTTGAGCACGTAATTTCACAAGCGCTGCTGAGGCCAAGCACCCTTCCGGCCAAATCGGCCGCTGCGACCGATGCGATGGAGGTAGTTCTCCATGTTCGCCTTGGAAAGGTTACAGCTTGTGTCTCGTGTCCGTGCTTACTTACAGGACGATGAGATAAGAATTTGGGAAAACTCTTGGGTGGCCGGAGCCTCCACGACACGTAACGAAACACTTAGAGAGCAGGATAAAAGAACAACACTACCTTGAGAGACCAGGATCTACCCCAGCTGGGGCAACAGTCATTGGCCGTTCCTTCAGCCCAACATAAACGCACGACGATGGCACAGGGACATTCGTGATCATTGAAACATGCAAGGCTCTTATAGCACTAGCAACTACCCTTCTAGGACGAAGAGCTTCCAGTTCCCTCCTTAGACCTTGCAGAAGTTGGGGGCCCTTAGATAGTCCCACTTCAGTCGGGACCCTGCTGATAACCTACTTGTCGTAGGGACTATACTACCCAAAAAAGTTAAAGGTTACCTATTCTACTTCTAGGATAAGGAAACTTGGAGAAGGCCCCCTTCAACTTTCCAGAACGCCACCGCTCCCCTGTGCCCGGAGACATGAACCCGACCCCAAACCCCAACTTATAAAGCCCGTATATGATAGAACCGAACCCTTGAATTATAGAACCCTTATGGACCCCCCCCCACCCTGATTAGAAATCCCCGTGTAGAACCGTAAACTGCAAAGCCGCAGTGCGTTGTCAGCTTCTCAGGCAAGCAGCCGGGAGGTCGTAGTTGATGACAAGGGAAACCTGCCGACGGCTGGGGGCTCTCGCAAAAAGACCGAATTAGTAACTAGCAGGACGGATCCTTTGTTGGGCACTCGCAGCTCTACCATGTCAGGACAGATCCTTGCTACAAATAGCAACGAATATAAGTGCTACCGTGGATATGAGCCAGGGTTCGGACTGAAAACGCCCGGTGGAAACGCCAGTGCAGGCGCTTGAACGGCCAAGGTGTTGGAAGCGTGTGGAGAGTATCTACTGGGCTTAGCCTGTCTACGATTTCCTGTCATGCTTGAGATCCTGTTTCTGGGCATGCATCTACGGTTTGGGTTGCTGCAAGCATTTAGTGTGCTATCGCTCTGGCGGGCATCAGGCTTCCATGCTACACGGACTTCATAAGTCAGCTCACTCGCTTCCGACCATCGCTTGAGTAGATTACGTCTCTGAAATCCTTCTGACATCAAGCTACAAAGCTCCGGGCATGCCTGCTGCACATCGATCCCCCGTGCCAGCAAGTCCTGCACCGGGTCACGCACCGAAATTGTGAAACCCCCAAGCCCACAGACTCTTGTATCTGTGCCCGACATTGAAGATGATGTTGTCTTTGTTCATGCCAAGAATAGTTGAATACTTTTTCTGGTGTTGCCGAAGCAAGCTTCTTTCAAATATTCGTCTTTCCAATAGTGCTAGTATTCCACTATCTAAGACTACTGCCGCTGCTATGTGTAACCCTTAATAAGCTATGATGCAGCTCCTTCGACTCTGCGTCCCGATTTAGGGCGGGTTGTCGGATCTACCCTTTCCTTTCGACCCTGTGTCCTATACCCCAACTTCCGTGGTTGTCAGAATTAGGGTCCCTTTTTGGGTCCCTAATATAGTACGGCACCGATTACTTAGGGTACCCAAAAACCCGGTTTGTACAGTTTGTGGCGGTCCGTGGAAATCAGCACGCGCGACGAACCGGAGCGGAACTCACCTGGGGTTGCTCAACAGGCCTGTATAGCTTTCCGCATGGCAAGCATCGGCTGTCAGTAAGAACAACTCCAACAAGATTCCTTTCGTAGTTGGGGAGATGTTCGATAGAAGCACGGCTCACGCACGTAGCGGATCCTCATGGATGAACCCAAGTGCAGCTTCCTATGCTGTTGGGGGAATTCGAGCCAAGGGTTTCTACATCAGCTAAGGTACATCAGGTTGAACTCGACTCTGCTTCAAGTTTGCAGGTTTAAGATGCAAAGTGTGTGTGCCTGAGGAGGAGAACAAGCAGGCAGCCTTAATAAACTAGTGCGGGTTGATCGAAAGTAAGGAGTATGGGCCTCAATAGCTAGTAGCAGCTTTCCTCTCGATATCCTCGGTAGGCCTAACATCTATAGCAGAATATACCCTGCCCAAGCCCCTGGAATCCCACGAATCGTGCTGCCACGTAGCGCATGACCAGGTCGCGCTCCTTTTGGTCCAATTCCGCATGCATGCCTGACTCACAGGTTGAGCTGTTACGGCTGTGCATTTGGATGCATGGATAGCAGTGCTCCAGAATGTACATCCAAGCCTAGCCGCACTGGTATCTGCCCCGGTGCGTATATGTGCAAGTACGTAAGAACGCATGCATGCGCATGCATATCATGCTCATTTTTAGTATTTTGCACTTGCACCCTGCAAGTTGCACCCTGCAGATAACATGAACTGGCGTTTGAGAAACGCCTTGCATCCATTGTATTGAATCGGGTAACATCTGCCGGAACCTACCAGTACTCGTAGCACACAATGTAAACCGACAGCAACTCTCTGGCACAGGCGCTTGGAGCGAAGCCCCCTCCGCATCCCGCATCTGCAACAACTCTAGACCCTACACCCTCAGCCCTCAACCTCAAACCCCCAGCAAAAGACCCAAACGGGCCTAAAAGAGAGAGTTGTTGAAAGAAGACTTGGTTCAAGGATCCCAACTGGGCCTAATTGCCGTATCATAAGGCAACCATATCATGTGATCTGAACTGTCACAAGCCTAATAGCCTAATCGTTACATTCATAAGGAAACCTTATCATCTACAATAGTTAGCTAAAATTGACCCGAATGACCCGAATTATCACCAAGCTCAGGGAGACCAGAGTATCTCCCTTTTTTGCAGCAGGCCTCGTTGTCCAGCAGCCCGGAGTACCTCCCGAAACCCTAAACCCCAAACCTTCAACCCTAAACCCTAAATGCCCTAAATCAGAGTGCTGCCGAGTTTCAGGAAACCGTGAAATCGCGCTTCTGGAGCTGATCTGCCAGGAAGTCCACCTGAAAAAAGGCACGAACTTCGGGGTTGAACATAGGAGCCATAGACTTAGCAATCATGACAAGGGCCTTTGGGTATGTTATCATAGAATTATTCAGAATTACCTGCAAACACCACGAACTTCGGGTCTCAATGTATCTTGTAGTAGAAGTTCTACTATAGGGTTTAGGGTTTCTACGATAAGATACCCAAAGACCCATAATTCTGCTGTAGAACCATAGCTGGAGCCCCAAGGGACGGAGTTGGCAAGGAATCAGTCGGGCGCTTCATCTTAGAGTCTCGCGGGCTCTACGGGTCCGGAGCTGGGAGATGTACGATCAGGGTCTTGAAGATGGCGAGTATGTGGGAGTCGCCGAAAACATGGGACCCTAATATAATAGCCTAAATAGTAGGATCCTGATGATAAGGACCCCAAGATAAGGTCCCCCACTTTTCGGAAGCTCCCATGTGGCGTGAAATACAAACACAAGCAGTTCTCAGGTTCACACACATGCGTTTGAAGGGTAAAGACCACCAACACCCGCCAGGCTCCAACATTCTAAGGTCGTACCCTGACGGGCACAAAAACCCTAAAGATCCCGGACATAACCGCGCGTATGAAGCCTCCTGATCCTTTAGATGCAGGAAAAATGCTACATCACTCAAAAGATGCGGGCAGGAGCCATGTCACACAGTGCTTGGCAGTGCTCGGCTTTCTTATGTTTAGGGCTCAGGGTTTCGAGTTCAAGGCGAATCGCGAAGGGTTCAGGCTTCTGCGTGACCAGGCCTTGCGGCGCGTGTTGCAGTAGATGATGGCCTGCGCCGGGGGGCTTCGATGGATCCTACCTTCGCTTCCGAATGAAGCTATCCATCTGTCAGACACCAACAACAGAAGGTCTAAGTTTGCCTGAAACCCCACTGTATCGCCGCTGTTTCTGGTGCTGAAAGTCCAACTGCACTTTTCCACCTCTCCACTACCTTTCGGCTTCACTGTTCTTCACTCGGCTGGCCGGCCAGGGCAATTGAAGAAATCTACAAACGCTGCTCGCAGTCAAAAGCTGGTATTGCAAAATCAGACGCCGAACATATCCTGAACGGTAACCCGAGCTGTCCGTGCCCTTTCACAGTTCTCACAATCCAAGAGCTTGCCTGAGTGATGGTCAGTGTCTCGTAGAGGTCGCAGAGTGTGTCCACCTTCCACTCCTCCTTCCTGAGCTAGTTTCGGCGATTTACTCAAGCAAATACAATACTTCTCAGACCTCATGCAGTCCATCCTGTCAAAAAGGTGCTTTCGTAAAAGTAGCACATGATAGAGGGGTAGCCATAACATCGCAAATCAAGAAATGTGGGAATTTCCGAAAATAGGGGTACCTTATTTTGGGGGTCCTCATTAGAAGGATCCTATTGTTTAGTACCATATTAGGATCCCCCATCTTCGGAAACTCCCATGTAAACCCTGAGCCGCTAATCCTTAAGCCTGCGCTCCTCAAGTTTGCCAAGGTTCTCAATGGCCACATAGAACTGCCGAATACCCTCCAGGGTCAACTCGTCCTGCGGCGCGTGGATTGTGCGGGGATCGCTCCAACATCAGGAATAAATATTTCCAGTCTATGGTAACTTACGGGTGCGAGTCTGTGCCCTTCTCTTGAAGCCTGAGGGTTTATGGTTGCTTTGGACTCTAGGGTTTGGGGGCGGAGGGCCTGGTACAGTCTGGTCTAGGTTCGTTGGCTGGGGTGGGATGGGCGTTTGGTTTGAGATGTAAGTGGAGGACTCTGTCCGGCTCTTTGGAAAGCTGAAACTTCCGAATGCCGTAGAACCAAGATGTGGTGGAAAAGTCGTCTGACCTCGTGCAAATTTCAGCAGCGCAGGCTTGCTCGGAATGAAGCCATTCCCATGAAGATTTGCTTTACAGGCATTACATCTTAATTTTCCGAGAGTGGCGGATGGATGGAGATGGGCTGTTGAAAGTGAGTGCTACCAACCTACCATGCCATGACTTGACCTGACAAGGCAGCAAGCAAAAAGATAGTCGCAGTATGCTCCAGCACATGGTTCGTGCGCTTTAGCAAGCGGGTGAGTTTGTGGCTGTACCGACCCTCGCACCCAAAATCTTTCTGCAGCCAGTCATACAGATTCATGCGCGGGCTATCACGCTGACGGTTGGTTCTTTCGGTAGGACAACATTCCATCGTGCACAACATGCATGGTGACTGCTGGGACAACAACAGGACCAGATTTCCGATGGAAGCTCTGTGTGCCTTTACTAACATACTACGAAACACATTAACGCAAAAAACACACTTTGTTATAATGCGATAACCTTCTATACAATACATAAAACGCTATCATACATCATGCTGGCTCTCTTTTGCTTTCTTGGAAGGCTGCCGGTCAACTTTGGCCTTTCCTGGCTTCAGGTCAAAGGCCCTATATTCTACCTTTATACTCCTGGTATGACAGTAAGCTCTATTATACTATGGTAAACCTTTGATATAATTAAATATAGTTACAACATCTGATGTTATAGTGTAACATACCATATTGTGTCCTTTACGATATCTTCATGTCATGTTATGACACATTATGGTCATAATTCTACACATTCTACAATATCAGACTAACCAACTCAGTCCCAAACTGGAAAGTCACCCAGCCAGTGAAGGCCTTCTTGACGAGAATGCGAACGGCGTTGCGCATGAACTTCGTGGTCATGTCCTCGGCCGCAAGGCAGGGTATTCTAAGTAGTACGTTTCGGTATATTATCGCATGTTATAGCTATAGTACACTTGCGTACTCTGTGGTGAGTCTTTCGTTGGAGACTCAGTCGCCTCGCCGTCTTCTGCCTGCATCAGGTCCGAAGCTTCTCCAAGCCCTAGAACCTTGATCCCGTTGAAGTTTGTGGTTTCGGAAGTGTTGGCTGCGAATCTGCTGCATGCAGAAACATGTCCAAATCCGGAAAGGAACTGCCTTGTGCACTTTCCCGACCCCTAATCCCTGCAGCAGTTTCTGTTACAACCAAGGTCGTTCAAAGTTGCTTCCAAAAGCAGGGTAGCAGACTCCTGGATGCATGTCTTGATATTATTCCAGGGTTTGATGATTGTTATTAATATTGTTATTACTCTATTACTGTTATCACTTGTAAGCGTATTGTGTTAGGGTTGAGAGATTGGGCAGCCCCTAGAAGACGCTTTATACGTTTTCTTCGAAGCTCTCAAAAGACTTTTTCACAAGTTCGAGGTCACAGCGACTGAGCTTCTTGAGAGAGGCAGCCTGGCCTAAGCCCAAAGCGCCAAAATGCTGCCGGGCATCCAAGATCTCCGGCGCCATTGTGGCGGAGAACAGACAGACCTTTGCTGCTTCTTTGTTAAGCTTTAGGCACGCACACAAGCCCCTGCTAGTCCCTCCTTAAATCGCAAAGCTTACCTTCTTGACCATCAAGTTGGTATACTGTAAACTTCCGGGCAGGTTTCGAGATTTGGCGTAGGACCTTCGGATAGGAGGCTCTGTGTAACTGCATCAACAACACCTCCCAAATAGTAGGCTTTTGGGTCTGGCGTTTAGGCGCCAGTGCAAAGCATAGCTTGAGGACCTGTCGGTACAAAAGTGAGACAACACCGGCCTGCACATCGGGCGGTAGGCACTTGAAGATGTCGTAGATTTGGTCCTCGCAGCCAGGTTGGCTTGGAGAAGTCGGAGTGCCAAAGCCCCCTCCTCCCTAAGTTTAGAAGCCTACGATTCCACACCCTAATGTAGGAACCTGATTAAGAAACCCTGGGCCCATAACCCCAAAATAGTAGGATTCATATAAGGAACCCCCGATAAAGGCCCAAGGTTTCTTAATCAGTTTCCTGCATTATACCCGAAACCCCAAGCCGTCTGTCACAAGCAGTTCTCGGCTCCTTGAAGCCGCGCGACATCAGCTCGTCCGCCTTCCGGCACATGAACTCTCGAAGTTCACTGAATAAACTGCGCGATGCTCTAATTTTGCCCAAGGCCCTTTCGTCTGTCTGAGGAGCCGAGCATGCTTACCGACAACGACACGCCACGCCTACGGTCAAGTCAATTAGTACTCTGACTTGCTTGATTTGGGAATTTCGGAAATTAGGGGTACCTTGTTCTGGAGTCCTTATAATAAGGATCCTACTATTTAGGGTACAATATTAGGGTCCCCTATTTTCGGAAAGACCCATTTCGATCCGTTCCATGTCAACATGCAGGCCGGAACTGGTTCCAGCGCCCTGGGTCTCTAGGCAAGCAGCCACCGCAGCCAAAAAAACAAGACCAGAAACCCTCCAGCGCAAGGCCCTTATGCCTTATAGAACTCTGACACCGCTGTTCTTATCAAGCTCCATCCCCATGGAAGCAGGAGAGCAGGCCTCGTCGAGGACGAAGCACTTCAAGTCATCCACCCGCAAGTTGTTCCTGAGCGTGGTCAGGCTTTTTGTTGCCGCCTACTTTGCTAGGACGAGCCGGTTTAGGGTTTAGGGGGGGTTTTAGGGTTTAGGGTTTAGTTCTTAATAGGGAATGGGGGAATGGGTTGTAAAGGACCCTCATGACTGTCACAAGGGATCAATGCAAGTTGTTCCTGAATTGTCTAGGGTTGGAAAGGCTTAAGATTCAACAATGGCATCCTGTTGGCTCTTCTACAAAACTATGCGCAGTGATGTGTCATCCCCTTTAAAGCCTTGTCCTTATAGTTAGACTTCTATAACTATGTACCTGCAGTGATAAACCATCCCCTTAAAGCCTTCTCCTTATACTTAAACTCCCTGCATCGTTACACGCAGAACCACTTTCCAAAGGCTCCATGTACCTTTATAGTAGATACTTTAGCCCCAAAGTAGTCCCTATATAGGTACTTTAAGGCCTAAGTATATACTATATGGGCACATGGAGTCTTAGGGCTTTCCAGCAAGCCTTTGACCTCGGACCGCCTGGCATCTTCCAGTCAGGAGGCTTGCTCACCATGTCGTAGACACGGCCTGGACAAACAATAGGGGACCCTAGGGATGGTGGCTCCATTAACGGTTGCGGAGGTTGAGGCTCTATAGGTGCCTTCAGGTTACAGCACTCTGCTTTTGAGGTTCGTTTCTTCGGCGCCCAGACCGCCACGGGCTGGTTTGCACGTGCACCGGGAAGGACGGATCTCGAGTCGTGTGTGATAAACATGTCGATGCATCTGGCGGCAACGGAAAGAAACGTCGGTCAGCGCTATGCCTGACGCAAGCCGCCGTTTGGTTGGGGCTAGAACCCATTGGCCGTGGGCTGCGGCGTAGCCGCTTATCGGTGCCAGAGCCAAAACCTGCCAAGCGCCAAATCCTGAAACCCAAGGCCATATCGCTGCGAAGCCTCAAACCCAGAAATCTCAAGCCATGGAGCCGTATTTGGACCGTAGACATTTAGCACTGATCGATTTCAGTACACGCGCCTGGCGTGCCAACCACAAGGTGCCTCTGGGTTTTGGGATTTCGGGTTTAGGGCCGCCGTGAACATGGGATCAGGATTGAAGTGCATCACGGGTGATGGAGTTTGCAATCCTGCGGTCAAAGTGAAGCATCATAAACACAAGTCCTAATCCGTCCGGCTTCTGCATTAATATGGGTCTCACAATCGGTATCCTGCCAATGCAGTTAAAATACGGGCCGGAGTTTTGCGACTAATACTAGCTTGGTCGTTAGTGCAACTATAGTACTATAGTAGAGCACGCAAAACATGCGGAACTAAGGATTCCTTGTGTCTCAGGTAACCTCGGGTTTCTCAAGGGTTTCTCGGAGCTGCCACGCTCGCTAAAGCCCCATTCGCCTAAACTCGTGGGGGGCGGGGAATCAACAAAGTTTCAGATTCATGTTCATAGGATGGAGAAGCTGCATACCGCGAGGTTTCTACTCATCTTCAACACTTCTTGCACAATGTGTACTGTTGTTTCGATAGCAGAACTTGCCACGAAGCAAGTATCATATTGAACCAATCCTCACAGGCTGTCCATAGCCGCAGCCTCAACTGTCCAGAAAAGTTTTTAGATCGTGCTTAAGGGTGATGGAAAACTACAACCGCTTTTGCTTCCATTCCAGTCAGCAGGTTCCTATGCAAGACACCATGCTATTGCCTTTCTGGCTGCGGCATTGTCCATGGGTCCGCCTTTAACAAGCATCCACAGGGCCCTCTACTACTTCAGCCATGCCCGTTGAGAAGGTACCCTAACCCGTCTGTTCATTCTGCTATCGAGCAGCTGAAAAAGAGGCAAGCCTAGCGGCTGGCATGGCTTTGGCTTGGACTTGAAGGGCCTCGGCCCCCCTTGTGTCTAAGGCTCGTGGACCTGTGGAAAGATCAGGAGTTACAACAACGCTGTAAAGACACCCCTCAACACTCCCTATAGAACTCTTATATGCCTTAAAGAACCCTTAAAGGAACTCCTTTTAAAGGCGCCCAGGTGCTGGCCGTCCCGGAGCTTGTCTACATCATCGCGGATCGCAGTGCCGCCAATGCCTCGGGGGAAGAAACCGAACATTTCGGTGTCTTTGAGCTTTCGGGTTTCGGATTACGGATTCGTTTAAGGGTTCCTTCAAAGGTGATAGTCATGATGAGCGAATGCGCTCTCGGGGTTTGGGATTTGAAGGCTGTTGGGGTTCAGCATACGAAACCACATGCCTCAACCACTTGCGAGAAAATCCAATGGAGAGGTCCACGTGTTAGCGCACAAAAGCGGAATTCCATGCAAAGGATTTGAGTTTGAATTCTTCAGGGTGCTTCCAACAGCCAGCTTGGTGCACACAATGTCTCCAAGTTAAAGCTTGCCGTAGGCCTCAAGAGGGTTTGCGGCTTGGGTGTAGGCTGCAACGGGCTGAAGCGCCAGGTGTTAGGTTACGTATCGATTCTGGGTTGGGAACATACATCCCCGTCGTTCCTAAATCAAAACAATCAAACCGAAGTAACATAGGGGCCTTAATAAGTTTTGGGGCCTAATTATAATAAGGACCCCCAGAATCACTACGGGAAATGCGGCCGCTGAGCACACATGGCTCTTGATCTTCAGGTAGTCACCCAACGCCAGCGACACCTGACTCATAGCTAGTTATGCCTTTTGTGGCCCCGAAGCACACGAAAGCATTGCCGATCATTTACACAACCAAAGCAGCTCTTTACGCGCTGAGAAAGGACTGGTAAGACCTGAGGGGACATCACAGATCATCCCGGAACTTCCTTCTTGAACAATAAGGACGGGCCATAGGCATTCCATGCACTTCAACACGATTCACCGGAAACCTCATGTCCTAGTGCCTTTAGCTTTTGCCTCAATCTAACACACCTGAACTTAGCAGCAGAGTACGCTTGTCCAAAAAACGCAGTCTTTCGAATTTCGAACTCTGGTAGGCCATATGGGTGGTTGTCAGAATTAGGGTCCCTTTTTGGGTACCCTAAATATTAGGTGCCGTATTATATCAAGGACCCAACAAGGGACCGAAAAAGCAAAGGCCACCTACCCAGCCCTCTCAGGCAACTCCGAACCCAGACCCCCGGGAGGATCCAAAAAGTAGATCCCGTAATAGGGGTACCTACAAAGGACCCTTAGTAGTATAGAGCCCCAAATTAGGGGATCTACTTTCTACCTAGCCAGCCAGCCCCTCAGGCAACTCCGCAAAAAGTGCCTTGTAGATCTGGTTTGCCAGCTCCTCAGCTGCAAAACCATGGGGCGGCGTTGCAAGGCGCAGGGTGGGTGGTTGTGAATTTATGGTGACTAGGTGGCGCTTTGGGAGACCTTGTGAGTTTCCCTTATGGTTCCTTAAGAAGTACCTAATCATAAGTATGGGTGGTTGTCAAAATTATGGCACCTTTTTGGGCACCCTAAATAATAGGTGCCGTACTATCATAAGGACCCAAAAAGGGACCCTAATTTTGACAACCACCCAGGTGATGCTTCACATACCCAGCGGAATGGGGTCGGGTTCAGATCTGAGAGAGCCTGCGTAGTTTTTGAAGGTTCAGTGTTTCGAGATTTAGAGATGTGACTGATAGCTATCTCTGAACCTCCGAGTAAGTTCACAGCTTGCAAAAACAACTCAACTAAAAGCCGATACCCTGCACTTGAAGCCCCTCGTAAACCCATAGGGCAATATCGAAGAACCTGAGGGAACTGGACTTGCTGAAGCCCAAACTCCGCAAATGCAACTCACACTTTGCAACCTGACTCGAAAGCGAGAAGCCGCCCAAAAACCGCCTGTACGTAGCCTTGTAAACCGGGTATCCCTTTCCAGCAAAGGGGGTAGTCTCGAATATTGTACCATGTGGATGGTTGTCAAAATTATGGTCCCTTTTCGGGTCCCTATTATAATACGGCAACAACTATTTAGGGTCCGAATTTTGATAACCACCCAAGTGTGCAGTATGTGATGTTTTGACTTCGAAAAGCTGAGGAAAACTCATTGAAGGCCAGAGCTTGAGCACCAAGTGACACGGGTGGGCGCCAGGATCAGCGCCTGAGTCCGGTTCAACCTGGCGATTTGGGCTTTAGGATCCCAGCTTGGAGGTTCATAAGTAGGGTAACTATACTTAGGAGCCATATTTTGGGACTTATATGACCATTTATAATAACTACGCATGAACCTCCAAGAGGTATTGGGGTAGAGGATCTGGCATAGAGTGTTCGTGGACTGAGGGAAGGTTGAGGGGCTACGATTAGAGGAGTGCAGGGACGTTGTTTAGGGATAGTTTGGCTATCTGCGTTGTGGCAAACTTAAATTTCACCGTGCAGCCTCGTAGCGCGTAGCGGTTTGCGTGGTTGATGACTTCATGCTTACAATTGCGCGCCCGTGGCATTTGATGATTGCGTCCTGAAGTCTTCATCTGTTGTCTTTTCTCACAATCAACGGTCAAACATCAAGACGTGCCTTATTGGGTTTTCGAACATCTTGAGAGGTCCGCGCCAGCCTCTCTCTGTCATCTTCACACACTTGTGAACAGGTCAGAGACAAGACGGAAGATTCCGGGTTTCGGCTCGAATGCATGTTCTAGCTAAAGCCTCTGAGCCATTTTTCTGAAAAAGGTCGGCTCAAATCCAACAAAGCGAAGATATTGAGTATTCCAGTGCCCTGGCTAGAGCCTCGGGTTTCACCCTCAACAAAGGAACCCGATCTTGAACTCGAACCCGAAGGTCTGCCTCTCTCGAAGACATGGCGGAGCGGCGAGTAGTCAATTCTTTGTAGGCAGCCGATGACGAACGTTGCAGTCTTTCCAGTGCCTTTCGAGAAGGCAAACCTCTGCCTACTATGGCGGCCTGAATACTTAGAGCAGGGTCCTAAAGAAGAGCCGCATATAGGTATGTATTCAGGCTACGTGCCCATGCGAAGTTGCGCTTTCTGGCTTCAGGTGCCGTGCTCTTCCTTTCATCTCCGCTCTCAACCTCCCGGCTCCCTTAGAAAATACCCAAATCATGCCCAACCTGACTGCGCTTGCCCGATCGTGTCGCGCCCGTCCAGGATTGGCTTGATGCCACGCTGCCTTGTTTTTTGGGTGGATCTTTTCAGAAGAAAAGGAAGCTGAGCCTGGTTTTCGACACTTCTGGGTTCAGCATGGCAATCATCAGAAGGAAGTCCCTCCTGGTCATGAGGCTCTTGCGTCGTCGTCCCAACTTGGAGGTCCATGGGTATTTAGAAGTAGCATATTAAGGGACTTATAACCGCACTTATAACTGCCCATAAACCTCCAAGAATGGCACACCCCGAACACCATGAAGCCCTCCTTCAACTCTGGAAACCCCAAGCCTGATTTAGAAAGAACCCCAAACCTGGGCTCTTGTCAAATGAGTTGCAACAATAAGGGAAAACCATAATTATTACTATGGATCCTTATTCTGGTAACTTAACTTAGACTAATAATTCCTTAACAACACCCGCCCACCCCTTCCCACCCCGCGTTCGGCTCTCTCTCTCTCTCTCTCTCTCTCTCTCTCTTTCTCTTTCTCTTCACTGCAGCCAGGGCGGCTGGATGGCGCTCGGCTTCTCGAAGCCGTAAGAATAGATCCCTGGGCGGTTTGGGGTGGTAAGGCTTCAGGAATAGATCCGTGCAGACTTCGCACTTGGGGTTTAGAGGTTTTGAGGGATCCCTGAGGTTTGGGGTTTCAGGCTTTGGGTGTCTTTCGACGCTCGCACTCACACAAGGCAGGCAAGGCTCCAGTTAGTCCACCGCATCTCAACTAGCTCTGGCTCCCAAGCAGATACCCAAAGTAAAAATCCACAGTACGCAATTTGATTGCATCAGGGATAGATCACTTCAAATGTTGCATTTGGAGTTTTGAGGTGTTTAGGGATCCCTGAGGTTTGGAGTTTCAGGCTTTTGGGTGTCTTTAGGGTTTACGTAAGGCTTTTGGGTTTAAGGTGTTAGAGCTTCAGGGATAGATCCCTGCAGATGTTGCACTTGGGGTTTGGAGGTATTTAGGGCTTAGGGCTTTTGGGTTTCAGGCTTTGGAGCTACAGAAAGGGGCTTCTGTAGAAGGCCTTGGCTTATGTCACCCCAGAGACGGATTCAAGCCCGAAGAAGGAAGTCTCGCTCCAGTTTAGGGGATTTTAGGGGTTTAGGGTTTGGGGTTTAGGGGTTTAGAGTTTAGGGTTAGGGGTTATCAAACAACTTGAGGCATGACCGGTTTCAAAAGCACCAGAAGAAAGACAGAAGCCCAGACTGTCAGGGTTGCATTGGATTCTTATGCGGGTTGCTTAAAATATGAGAGTTTCCGAAAATAGGGGACCCTAATATAGTACCCTAAATAGTAGGATCCTTATTATAAGGACCCCAAAACAAGGTACCCCCAATTTCCGGAAACTCCCATATGAGTACGTACCGCTTGAAGGGTTAGGACTGGCTCAAGGGTTCCTGCAAAACTCGAACGATCCTGCCATTCAGTTGCCCTTCATGTGGAGGCCCTTCAGGGATAGGTTTGCTTTGCTTTTTTGTGCCTCAAACTAGGCCGATGCTATTGCCAGTTATTTCGGCCCTTGTCTTAAACTGAAGTCTCAGCGCCAGTCTTGATACTAATATTAATATTAATATTAATATTAATACTAATATGAATACTATTACTAATACTAATATTAATGTTAATATGAATACGAATACTAATAATTTAAACGCCACAGTATTCGTTTTGTGCCGACCTTCAAACTTGGATCCCCACCTCGCAACAGGTTTTCCTCCAGGTCGTAGTCATCGAAAGACTCGAACACCGGATACCTTGGTAGAGGGTTATGGACTTCGGGATCTAGGGGTGCTGTTTCGGGGGGTTCGGGTTTAGGGTGACGGATTTCGGCGATGCTGCACACCTTCCATTTTCGGGGATCGGTTTGTGTCCAATTGCTGCACACCGGACTGCAGCTCTTACCGGCAGCTACATTCTGACTCCCTCTCCCCTTCGAATCATGCTGTAAAGGTGAGAAGCAAGGCAAGTGGGTAGGCAAACAAAGTGACAGGGTACGAACCTACTTCCAACTATCCATAGCCTCCAAGCTAGCGCAAGGCCTTCCGAACCATGGCCCCTTTAGGTTCACAGGCCGTGCTGGTAAATTTCAAACTTACACTTAACCATGACTTGAGAGTCATAAGGCCTCGCGCGCTGATGTTGGATGTCTATGTGGTTCCAGGGACGGCCACTCCATCTCACAACTTGGGAGATTCCGAAAATCGGGGACCCTAATGTAGCACCTGAAATAGTAGGATCCTGAGTATAAGGACCCCAAAGTAAGGTACCGCTAATTTTATCGGAAACCATCACTTCGGTATCGACTGTCTGGCTACTCTGATTGACAATGGAAGCTTCGGCCATCCCGACAGGCGCTGCATAATCGAAAGGAAGAGCCACCCGACGGTACCGAAACGTCCCGTGAGCCCTAAACCCTATGTATGGTCCTCCAGAACATTCAGCATGCACACGCAATCAAACACAATGACATCTATACTCCAAGACCCCACGCCACAACCTTTAGACTCAACAGACTGCCCTTGCAGAGCCAAAGCAACTCCTCCGCACCAGTCACTGTCACTCCCTCAGACGACATGGCTCCTTGCATGCAAGTTGGAGTTCATGACCTTCTGAATCCTAAACCTTCATCGTAGAGCCGCAGTAAAAACAAAA